CAAGATTAAATTAAGCAAAGGTTAAAAGCGCTTGGAAATCGAATAATAGGCATGATATGCTGAGTTCAAACGTTTCTAGACGGGCACCAAAGATCTGTAAAACCTGATTAAGAGATAAGGGTCAAGGATTCATGGACACCAAGAGTTAATGGTCTAACTAGTTTTTTTTCAATAATTTTATTCGTTTTTTCATGTATTATTTTTGTTAATATACGTAGGCTACGCGCTAGGATGATTGATGTAGCCCCTAGTAATTCTAGAGCAGCCTAAAAAGCACCAATGAATGAAAGGGACTAGTTACTTAGACAGCAGCCTTGCTCATAGCACGTTAGTGTTACGTTAAGAACTTCAGCAGTTAGCGGCGTCGGGACAATGTTAAAGCCTATTTAAATGATCACGTTAAACAGAAAAAAAGAAGATGCACTTTTATGAAAAGAAATTAAAGCACACTGATCGTCAGATTCTCTATGTGACCGCTAGCAAACAGGAGAAAAGTTGTGAAATCAGGAATGGGTAGTAGGCATTTAGTTTTCGATCCCTCTCTGTTTATTTTGTGTATAGAGTAAATACTGTATATGTATGTACGAGCCTGACAAGCCCGTCTATTAGATGGACTTGATGTGTTTTTTCCACAGGCTACTGAAAAGCATTCGTACGTCTCAGTTCTGTATCAATTCAATCCAGCGCATTTTATTATGGGTGGGGGACATAGGTCTACACATTTTGAGCATCGTGGGGGTGAGACAAGAGGAGCTCATCGGCCACAACATGGTCGAAACGAGGAGGCGACAGTAGGAATCGCGAAAAGTTGCCCTAAATGGACAATTTCTGTTGACATTATTACAAATTTATACATTTTATCTGCGCACATCGTCATAGTTTTCCGAAACTAAGTTTGTATAAATCGTGCCTTCCTGGCTCTAACAAATCTAAATTACAATTTCCAAACATCACCAAGATACGACCAAGCAGATTGTAAAGTCAACTAACAGGTTTGTGAAAACGTAAGAACCCACGAGGATCGTCAACAGAGACATCGAAAACCACCGTCGGGATTTCAGAACGGAGAAGAGTTGGCATCATTCGGAAATACTAAGTCAGTGCCACGGAGTAGTTTTTATAATTCAAAACGTTTCGGCAATGATGTCTTAAGCAAGCATCTCATCTGTTAGTCAGAAATCTACAATTTGG